GGAGGCTCCATGCTGACAGTACAGAGCCTGATGTGGGGCCTGAACCCATGAACCCTAAGATCATGACATGAGCGGACACCAAGAATTGGACGCTTAAGCAACTGAGCCACCCAGGTGCCTCTCTACATTTTGGTTTGTTTTTAAGGTTATCTACAGGGTTTCTATTTTTATTGTATTAGAGGTTAATTAACATATAAGATGAAAAGTCAGCAAAATGCTTTGATAATAAAATAATAGTTAATACATATATAATGCTTATGAATTTGTGGGCTCTGATCTGAATGCCTTATGTTTACTCCTCAGTATAATTTTATAGTTAGGTATTATTACTAGGTACTTAATTTTACAGATAAGAAAAGAGGCACAGAGGGGCGTCTGGGTGGCTCAGTCGGTTAAGCTTCCAACTTCGGCTCAGGTCATGATCTCACAGTCTGTGGGTTTGAGCCCCGCGTTGGGCTGTCTGCTGACAGCTCAGAGCCTGGAGCCTGTTTCAGATTCTGTGTCTCCCTCTCTCTCTGCCCCTCCATTGCTCGCTCTCTGTCTCTGTCTCTCAAAATAAAGACATTAAAAGAATTAAAAAATAAAAAGAGGCACACAGAGGCTAAGTAATTTATCCAAGATCACACAGCTAATAAATGGTAGAGCTGGGATTCAAACACCAGCTGGCTAGTTCCAGAATCCCATGCTCCTATGTAGTGCATGTTGCCTTTCCAGATGGTGTGAGATAAATATGCCCCATAAACTAAGCAGAAAGCCATGAACTATCAGGAATTTATCCTCTGATACAAATGTTCTCTTTGTTAATCTGCCATCTTGAGAGAGAACAGTTTATTAGTAATGAATTTTTGTATTTTACAGGTGAAATTATTATATATCATTTAACTCTTTATAAATTATTTTCTCATTTTAAAGGTTTCCCTAATATCTATAATTGACACTTCTCATGCCTTTTAAAGTTTTACTTAACCTTAAAATTTTTTTAATGGTTATTCATTTCTGAGAGAGAGAAAAAAAAAGGTGAGGGACAGAGAGAGAGGGAGACACAGAATCTGAAGCAGGCTCCAGGCTCTTAGCTGTCAGCACAGAGCCCAACATGGGGCTTGAACCCATGGATTATGAGATCATGACCTAAGCCCAAGTGAGACACTCAACCAACTGAACCACCAAGGCACCCCTAAAATGTTTTTAAGAGTCCTATGTGCTACCTGTGGAATACAAAGACAAAAAATTCAAATATGAATTGCCTGTAACTACTGCTCATCCTTAATGTACATATTAGTAAACATCTTGTGCCTGATGAATAGCTGCAAAACTCAGCATCTTAACACAGTGGCCTTTGTTCTCAGGAACCTATAGGCTGGCCAAGGTGGCTCTGCCTCATGCTATAGTTGCCAGAACCAGAGAGAAGAACGGTCGAGACTTTTTCTAATGGTGATGGCAGTTATAAAAAGTGAGGCAGACCTTCTATGAGCTGTCATGGAAAGATCCTGCATTCACTTCATTAAGTCAGATGAGCAAGTTACAGAACAAAATGCACACTGTTGCCTATGTATGCCTAGAAAGTATATTCTTACAGCACATCTATGTATGAAAAAGCCTCAAATCAATTTTAAAATGACACACGCCAGACTTTTCATTGTGGTTACTTATGAAAAGGGGGTTGAACTTTGGAGGAATGTTATGGCAGGGGGCATGGGAGACTGATTGACCTGTGTTACATTTTTTTTTATATAACAAGAATATACACACTATTCTTAGCTTTGCCATTCAAATGTTTAAATGAGCCTAATAACAGAAATAGCAGTCGCATCTCACTCAGATAAAGTTACTGCTAACTGATGTGACAGAGAAAACCTGAAATCTGAATGGCTTAATGCAATCTGAACTTATTTCTTGTGAACACACATGGGGTTTGGCAGACACTCACTACTATGAGGTGATCCAGAAATCCCAGCTGTCTCCATCATGTGGCTCCACATCTCAACACCGGCTCCCCATGTTTGCTGCTGAATGGAAGAGAGAGCCTGGCTCTCATGTGTCTTGGCCTGGAGGTGATAAATATGCTTCTACTCAGGTTAGTGGTAGGGTTAGTCACATGACCCTTCCCAACCATGAATAGGATGACAATCGAATGGCTTCTGCATTGCAGCTACTCAATCAGGAGCAACTGTTGCAATTGGTTATAACAACCTTCTTCCCTTTTTTAAAAAAAAAAAATGTTTATTTTTCTGAGGAGGTGAGGGGCAGAGATAGAGGGACGGAGATAATCCCAAGCAGGTTTTGCCACTGTCAGCACAGAGCTGGATGTGGGGCTCAATTCAACAAACCATGAGATCATGACATGAGCTGAAATCAAGAGTCGGATGCTCAACCGACTGGGGCACCTAGGTACCCCCAACCTTCTTTCCTTTTTGGAGGAGTTTCTGAGAAGGCCAAATTTACCCTTAAACTCATCAATTATTTTTCTACTGCATACAATGTAACTGATATTTTCAAATATAGAATTACCATCTAATTTTCAAAAGGGTCTTGTTAATCTCAGCAGGGAGGTCTCACCCATTTTCCCTCAACAGCACCTTTCTGCATGTCCATTTGCAATAACCTGTATGATCTCACTAGGCTGAGAATTTTCCCCTACCTTTAGGTGCATGGTCAAAATCACAGCAACCCGCCCTCAGACCTTAACAGGTGCCACTAAGCACAGTGTAAAAACAACACTGTTCCCTGGGACAGATACAAACAAGATTCAATGGAAGAATGGTGAATCCTTTTCCCTTTTTATTGAAACTTCGCATGTCTGTGAAGGACTCTAAGATGAGTTTTTGGGAATTCAGTCTCAGCAGACATTTGCTTACACAGTGGTTTCCTGGGTACTTCCTCATCTATCACGTAGGAAGGAGGGTTTGGTTCTTGACCACTTAGTTAAGTTCACTCATCACTGGATGGATTCAATGACCACATTCAAATAAGATACGTCATTAAAATCCTACTGCAAATATCAAGTTGTTTCCAAAAAAGTCCTCTCTAGCCTCAGAGTTCTAAACAAAAGGCCCTGTAGATCCCATGTCAATCAGTGTACTTACCAGCTGATTTGGCAAAAACAAAAAAAACAAAAAAATCTAAAAAAACAAAACTTTGAGAGTGAGGTAGAGGCACCCAGGGGAGATGAGGAGGTGTCTAAACCTCACTGTCAGAATTACACGGAAAGGCAGCTGCTGTCAGAGTGGGGCCAGGGGGCGGAATGGGGGAGCAGGGAGTTGGAATGCTGTAAATCAAGGGATGGCGCGGCCTGAGGACTGTCTGTTCCCCCAGGAGCAGGGCGCAGCCTCCACAGGAGGACCCAGAAGAGATCTGGCCTGAAGGACAGGTCCCAGTTTGGACCTGAGGGCCCACTGGGGAAGATCCAGGGGAGGGAGCAGTCATTCAGGAAAATGCCGGGACTGGACACTTGTGCTGAGACCAGGGCAGAGAGCCAGCTCTCAAGCTCTCAAGGGACCCTGGGGTGAGGGGCCAGGAGATTCTAGGGAAATGAACCCCAGGGACAATCCCCAAATTGTGCCTGATTCTCTTTTACCTTCCTTCTTTCAGCCTGCTTTTAGTACTTTGGCCACAGGGTGCTTCTTTCCTTGCCTGAGAAACATCAATGTGATAGTGAGAAGAGAAAGTAATTAAAGGACAGAAGGTTGGGCTCAGCCTGGGAGGAGTGGCACTTTGTGGGCTCCAGAGCAATCAGACTGAGCTCTTCTGGTTCTGTCACTTCACCAGCCACATGAACTTGAGAATATTTCAAGTTCTTCATCTGCCAAGTGGGCTGGATAAGCCCTGTCCTGCAGTTCTGCTGAACATATGTAATGTATATGAAGCATCTCACACAGTGATTGGCAAATGCTGGTCTTTAATAAATGGTAGTTGTTATTATGCTTATTTTCACACCAGAAAAAACCTCCCTCATCTCTGGGACTTTTTGTTTTGTTTTTTTTTGTTCAGGAAATGTCAGAGACGGCAGTACTGTAGGACAAAGAAAACCACATTGGCCTAACTGCTGCTTAGCAGTTAACCAGCAGTTAACACTAAGTAAAATAACCCATTAGAGAGTATGTTCTTTAATTTGGATGCAGGGATTTCACTGGGAATCAACTCAAAGCTTGTAGAATTTATGTCAAGCATCAATAATTCCCGCCCCCCAACTTCCCTCCCATCAAAAACACTGCTATTTTCATTTGCCTCACCACCACCAAAATCTAGTCCAATTTTGACATTTTGTCAAGTGACATTCAATATAACCTATTCAATGGAGCAGGCTCTGGCTCGCCCAGGTTCAGCACAGTGCTTCTTGCCAGCCCCCACTAAGGGAGTATCACCCTGATCTCTGAGAAATTCCCAAAGACAGTACGTACACAACACTGTGCACCATGTTCACCTGTACCCAGATAAGAGCACCAGCCACCTTCTAGTCCTTCCCCAGGTGGTGATACTCTCTGGTTTACCTGTGATCTCAAAGTAACTGTTAGGGACAGTGTCTCATTTCAGAGTTAGTCTCTCAACCCTGAGACCCACCATCCAAAGGCCTGGGCCCTGCTCACAATGATCACAGCCCCATCTAGCCCAGCACACAACTAACTTAAAATTACTTTGCACCAGGGGATCTGCAGAGTCTCAGATCCCAAAGTGTCTGGGCTCAGAGAATTTATACTTCAATGCTGTTACCTGCCTCCCTTCCTCATTGTCTTTTAAAGCTTGTCTTCTTAATCTTCCTTATATAATCACTGCTCTTAAAAACCTATGCCAGGTGCAGGGTCTTCTTTATCCTTAGTATCATCATTACTAACATATAACCTTCCAAAGAGCAGATGCTCAATTAATGGTAAGAATAAATTGGACACTGAGCAAGGAATGTAATTTATTACTCTTTAATTTTCTCTGAACTCTTGAATAAGTTAAGGACATCCTGATATATATCCTTGAATTTTACAAAGGTAAAGACAAAAGACAAACCAAGATTTAACTACATTTTACTTTGTTTCTATTTTAGAACTAGAGCTATATTTTTGAAGGTTCTTTCATACTTTGGAAAAAAGTCCCCATTCCAAAGCCATATTATCTTGTTCTGGAACTCAAAGATGCAAGGATTTTCAAGCTACATTACACAATACCAAAACTCTTACTCCTAAACCTTACTCTTAAACCTTACTCTTAAACCTGATAAACAGCAATGTGTGACCCATGTTATTTATAAACTTGGATTCCAAACCCTATTAGATTCTTTTAAAACATGCTGAAACATTTTGAAAGGAACAACATTTGTAAGCTACTCAATGCACAGCAGGAAGGCAAAGAAGATATATATTATGGTCTTTCCAACCCCAGCTTAGCCTCTCATTACTTAAAAGGTTGGCAGACCTCATGAAACACAAAGCAAAGAATCTTCCTCAGCCCTCTCTAGGGAGAAGGGTGGCCAGATATGGCCTGGGAACGTGCACTGGCCTTGGCAATAGGGGCTGCCCTGGCCGTGGCTTGGGCTCTCTCTTCCTCATCTCGCAGAGCCTCTGCATAATGAAGCGGGAAGGCACTGGGGACGGTATCGTGGACCTTGGCCAAAAACTCTAGGATCTTCATCTTGCTGATGTCGGCGTGGGCTCGGGGGCCCCACAGGAACTCATAGCTCGGGGGGTCGCTGCTGGGCACCTGGCGGTACTCCAGGTACTTTTCCTGAACCAGATCTTGGGTGATGAGCTTCCTGGGCTCCCCGAAGACTGAATGCCTCCTTCCATCATAGACGCCCAAAATATTCAGGAATTCCCAGACATCTTTTTCAGAAGCTTGATTGCCACTCAGGAAGATGACGCCCAGGAGAGGCAGGAGAAGGCCACTCTTAGGCACAACAGAGCCACTGATCATGCTGCCATCATCGGCGATGTCTAGGATGCTGACGAGAGTGTAGGAGAGACCGTTGGGCTTGACTTCCTTTAACTTGAGGCCAAAGACCAGCTCCAAGTGCTCAGCGGCTCTCCTGAGGATCTCAGGGAAGTGCTCCTTAAACCTTTTGGAGACCATCTTCAGCATGTGTGCCTTCATAATGGGCTCTTTCAGGTTGTGCCTCTCAAGCAGGAATTCCATCAATATTCCTACCTTCCTGTTTAGAGGATCTTTTTGAGCTCTCTCAGTGGAATTTGAGGCTGAGGAGGAAGATTTCTTTTTCTGAACACGGCGCTTGGCACCTGCCTTAGATTTTTGCCGTGAAACACGTGGAGCAGCTCCGGTGGTTGACGGGGCTTTTTCAGGCCCCTGGGAAGTGCCAGCAGCAGGGGAGCTTGAGGGGGGAGCCCGAGAAACAGGAGAGGAGGGGGACTCTTCACCCTCTGCTGCAGCAGCCTGAGCCCCCGCAAGACCCTGCGACCCACCTTGGGCCTGGCGGCGCTTCTCGCGGGCACGGAGCTTACTCTTATGGCCCCGCGGCATGGCTGGCTCAGGGACAGCAGGCACAAGTGTGGGCAGGAGCTGCTGGCACCTGGAGCAGGAAAGAGGAGAGTGTGAGCCCCTCAGCAGGGAGAGACCACCTCGGCTTTTAAGAAGGCCTCTCTGCAGGTTTTCTGAGGGCACGGCTCTGGGACCCCCAGGGCTCTTGCTCTTGCTCAGCCTGTCCCCTGTGAACCCAATGGAGGAAGCTAGATACAGTGAGCCCCAGGTTCTGGCTTGCCAGCCCTGCCTGTGGCTCACTGGAGTGACAAAGAGGCCTGGTAGCGTGGACCTTCTCTGTGTTCAAGGATAATCCAGGATTATCACACCAACTCTTGGTAGGGCCCAGGACCTCTTTCCTGTGCTTCCATGAAGCTGACACCTCAAAGTTCCCTGGGACCCCTGAGCAGGAAGTGAGGAGTGCTGACAGCACCGTGGGGCCCCCTCTGTGCTGGACTTGTTGGTCCTCAGTCCTCATTCACAGTCCTCATCTCGTCTACACCTAGAGTCTGGGACACTCCCTTCTGCTAACAGGTGTTACACCCTCAGCACAAGATCTCACCTCCCTTAGACTTGATGCAAAGAAATGAGAAGGAGTCTCAGCCTAATAATCCAGCTTTGGTCCTTCAGGGGCTAAGCATGGGGACTTGGAAAGACTGTGCTGTTCCTCCTACTTGGTGGAGGGCAGTGGACGTGGTAGCTTCAGTGGTTGTTCATGGTCCTCACTTTGACTCAGGGTCCACAAGTCCCTGAGATGCAATGATGGAAGGGAAGGTGGCCGTATCTGGCCACGGTGCCCATGGTTGAGGCCCTATTATGTGTAATCCTCACTTTTTACTCAGAAGAGGGTCTGGGATTCTTCCTGCTACTGACACATCAGATCAATACTCTCACTCCCCTGTTATCTCTGAGTGGGACCTGATAGGCACCTCTAGTGGACAACTATGCCTGGAGACTCCTGGGACTAACGAGAAGGAGGGATATCATGGGTGGGGGGGGGTGTCTCTGCCGGTATGGGGTAGAGATCCACACAGTCGTTAGGGCCCTCTCTATGAGTCCTGGTGAAACCTGAAGATCCTCCCTCTGTTGACCTGAGCCTCCTCACATGGTATTAAGAGTCTCACCATCCTGAGAACCCCAGGATGAAAGAAACAGTGAGCCACTTCCAGTCACCCTGTCCCTGGACACCTTCGAATGGCAGCAGGGGCTAGATTCCATGGCCTTCACCGTTCTAACATTACTGACCTCTCAGTCCTCGTTTGGACAGGATCCAGATTCCTCCCTTGGCCCACCTGAGTCTTCTAGCCTTGGATCAAGGGCCTTATCTCCCTGAGGTTTCTGAGGTAGAAGTGAGGGATGACACATCTAGCTACCTCTACCTGAGGTCTCCCAGGGCTGGACAGAACTTTGTGGGCCCCAGAGCTTTGGGTGGGTACTCATCTCAGTCATCCATCAGTGTCTTCATCCTCACCTCAGGCAGGACCTGGAAATCCTTTGTGTCTTGGCTTAAAGACTATCCCATCATTCTAAGGCCCCTACCACCCTGAGACCCCCTAGACAGAAGTAAAAGTTTCCTCATCTAGCTACTCCTGTGTGTGGACTTTCAAGGCTGACAGGAAGGGATTCTGTTGCACTCACTGCTGTGGGGTAGATGGTCCCCTCAATTCTTAGGTCTTCTCCTTGGCTCCTGGCAGTACCTGAAACTCCTCCATACACTGACTTGATGCTTCCCACATGAGAAGATTCCTCACTTTCCTGAGATGCCTTGGGAAGAAGTGAATGAGACTCACCATGTCACTAGGTCTGGGTCTCCCAGGTCTGAGAAGGCCCCACGAGGTTCACTTTTTTCTGGGAAGGGTCCTCTCATCTTTATTCAATGTCACTACCTGGACTCCTATTAGGAACCAGGTTTCCCTTCTTTGCTGAATGGCACCTCTCCAAATAGACTCAAACCATTTTCTTAAAGGACCTATTTCAGCCAGAGATCTCAACCTGGGTTCCTCAGGCTGACTGCACAGGTGGAATTTCTGTGGCCTCCTCTGTTCTGGGGTAGTTAGCGGTCTCATGTCTATAGGATTTGTACCCTGACATATGTCATGACATGGGGTTCCTCTTTTTATACTAAACTGGGCAGCCAATCCTGAAACTATGGCTCATGCCTGAGACTTGTGATTCACCCTTCAGAGAAAACACTGCCTTTGTGTAACCTGCTCACCCAGGAAGCAAACATTTAAAAAGTACAAATGCATCACAAGGTCACTAACAAGAACAACAAAAACAATAAATATATCAGTAAAAGGAGGAGGTATTTTGGGATTCTTCTCTCTACATGAGTCTACATGCTTCGAAGCAAAGACCTCATGTCTGTGAGTAGCTAGAAGAAAAGTTAGTGTGCTGCACATCTGGGTACTTTACTGGAGACTGCCAAATCTGAGAGCAGGGGTGCAATTCTGTGTATTTCCCTATTTTTTAAATTTATTTTTGAGAGAGAGAAAGAGAGCACGCCAGCTGGGGAGGGGCAGAGAGGGAGAGAGAATCCCAGGCAGGCTTCAAGCTGCCAGCTGCAAAGTCCGATGCAGGGCTCGAACTCACCAACCACCAGATCACGATCTGGGCAGAAATCAAGTGTCAGCTGCTCACCCAGAGCCATGCTGGCTCTCCCGCAGCTCAGCCTTTTCAAGAGCCGTCCTTTTGTTACTATGGAAGGTCCCAGGTTTCCTCCTTTTAGGGCTAAGACTCCTCCCTCTGCCTTCTTTATATAAAAGGCCTTTCTCTCCCTGAACCAGCTCCTCGGCAAACATGAGGGGTTATCTCAGCTCGAATTACTCCAGGGCATTCCAAGACTGCCGGCAGGAGTGGGGGCTCTGTGCGGTCACCTGAAAGGCGGTACCCTCCGGAGTTCCGAGGGTCCCACCTTGCCACCTGTGACGTCCCAGACTACTCCCTTTGCCTAAAAAAGCTGTTCCGTTTAGACAAAGGCCCTCCCGTTCCCAAGGCCATCCCAGTGGCTACGAGGACAGAGAACAACGGGACCACCCTGAGCCAGACCGAATGGGCCGATTTCGGGGAGGGGTCGACCCTGGTACGTGGGGTGCAAGGAGTAGTCTCTTCAGGTCCCGAGCAGCGTCCTCACCTTAGTTTCTTTCGGCCCCGTCCCGGGATTCCAGCAGCCAAACGCACACCACAGCCAGCAGCGTTGAGGTCCGGGCCAGAAAGGAAGTCGGCTGAGCCGCGTCCGGCCCTTGGCGGCGGCCCGGGGTCTCTGAGGGCCGAAAGCAGGGGTAGGCGCTCTAGGACTGCACCGCCTAGAACTCGGTGGTCCCCACGTCCTCGCGAGGGTTCTCGCCACGTCTGTCAGAGCCTGGGGCTCCTCCCCCTGCCGGCTCAGGCCCGCTGGCCTCCAAAGCTCCACTCTCCCGAGTGGCTAGAAGGCACGCCCTGGTCCTGCCTTCCTGGGCTGCACAAGGCTGGCAAGAGGCGTGGGACTCTATGAGCGTACTTCTTTCGGGTGAGATTCACTTGCATTCAAGGTCCACACCTCGACTCCACTTACGACCTGTTAGACAAGGCCATTCCTTCCCCGAAACTCATGAGATAGAATGAGTTGAGAAGAGCTCCTTAGTTGGAGCTCTTCTAGGTACCCCCGTGCTAAGAAAGGTACAGGACTCTATTTAGCCCCCTCTGCTTTGGGGGCCCCGCTAACATTTGTGCTCTTCACATGAATTCTTGTTAGGGTCCGGGTCCTTCTCTCTGCAAAAGTGAGGCAGCTTCCGTTAAACGGAGGCCCTCACGTCCCTGAGACTTTCTAGGCTGAAATCAGACTGACAATTCTGCCCAGGGCTTCCCAGGGTCAACATTAGAGGAGATTGGGGGCGGGGGGGCGGGGCAGGGCGTGGGCTCCGTTTATGCTGTGAGTGCTGCTCTTAGTCCACATATGGGTCCTCACCTTGATGGATGACCAATCTGGTAACTTCACTCTGCTTTCCTATAGCTGCTCATATTACATCAAATTTCCTGAGAATTCCAAGTTGGAAGTGAGGGTGCTATTGGCCTGTTCATGGTCCTTCAGTGCGTCCAAGAACAGATGCTAATCACTTCTGGCTGGTGTCTTCCATCATTTCTCATTCATGGTCCTCACAACATCTTTCAGAGCCTGGGATTCCTTCTACTGAGCTAAAGTAACCATGCTTAAGTCTTTGGATGACCCCAATATGTTGGGATAGCTGTTTCTTTCAGTCCTCATTCATGGAGGTCCTCATCTTTGCCTGTCTCTTAATTAAAGGCTTCCTGGGAAGCAACATGTACCAGTAAACATTTGACTAGTTTCTCTATTGTAAATCTTGCAGAAAATGAGTCTGTCCGCAAAGTGATGTTAAGATAAGGAAAGTGCAGCATAATACATCAAGGAGCCCAGGATAGGTGTATGCTGAGAAAAACACACAAATGAAGCAAAAATGCTGATATATTCCTTCTCTTCACCAGCCACACTTAGGGTAGCTCTAAAAGATTTACTTTTTACAAAGGATGGAGCCAGATGATTTTTGTGAGCCCCTGATCTTTTGAGGATATCTGATTTTGCACAGGTAGAGGATCATATTGTCATTGTCTCCTTCTCTCCTTTATTCAGATCTCTTCTTTATTTTGATATTCCTATTATTCTAGTTCTGCATTCCAATCCAGCATTTTGGTCACAGAGTTGTTTTTTTTTTTTTTTTTTATCACTTGAGAAACATTTTGGAGTAGGAGAAGCAAGTGAATTAAGTGATTCGTGGTCAGACTCAGGCTGGGAGGAGTGGAAAAGTGTGAGCTCTGGACAAATTCAGACCAAGGGTCTAGTCCTAGCCCCATCACTTATTAGCTCTGTGAGCTAGGTGCATTACCAAGTTCTGTGAGCCTCAGGCTCTGCATCTGTAAAGTGGGTGTGTTAAATCCTGTCTCACAGGCTGGTGGAACATGGTTAATGTATGCAAAGCACCTGGAAAGATGCCTGGAATGCACTGAGAATTTATACGATGGCTGTAATTACAATGATTGATTATTTTGACCCCAGAGGATACCACCCCCACCCTGATGGAATATTTGCTTTAACCTAAGAGATATCAGAGAATATATGCCTTTTAGGACATGGAACGCTAAATCAGTTCAAAGTGCTGCTTCTAAAGATACTCTAAGTAAATTCCCCCCAGTAAATCATATTTCACATGTGGGGGAGTCTTTTCCAGCTGAATGCAACTCAAATTTCTAGAACTGGATTCGAAGACTAATTCCTTCATCTCTGCTGCCCTTTTACCCAAACCACCCCTACCTTCATTAATTAAAAAAAAATGTTTTTTACCTTTATTTATTTTTGAAAGACAGAGAGAGACAGAGCACAAGGGGTGGAGAGAGGAGACACAGAATCTGAAGCAGGCTCCAGGCTCTGACCTGTCAGCACAGAGCCCAAGGCAGGGCTTGAACTCACAAACCTCGAGATCATGACCTGAGCCAAAGTTGAATGCTTAACCGACTGAGCCGCTCAGGTGCCCCATATCTTAATTAGTTTCACCGTCACCTAAAATCTATACCTCCCTTTGAGTTTGCAGAATTAGAAGCAAAATAAAAACAAAATAAAACCCAAAATACTGAATTTGAATGCTCTTTTAGTAAAATGGGCTCTGACTCCCCAACTTACAGCAAAGAGTGCCTGCCTGCCCAGTGGCTTCTGAGTTTCCAACCTCAAAAGAGCACCACCCGTATGTCTCCAAAACTCCGTGGAGATGATTTACATAAAGCACCTAGTTTGTGCTCTATTCACCTGCGCTGGAGACAGAAGCACAGGACACATTTCATCCTTGCCTGGCGTGGAGATCCCCTCTGGTTCACTCACAATCCCAAAGTAACTGCTAAAGGTAGTTTTCCCTTCCAGACTTAAATCTCTCAACTTGGAGCCCCATCACCTGGCTCCCGTTCACCAGTTACACGGCGGCATTAGCCCACCCTACGGCTCACTTCACTTCCCATCGCAGGGCGTTCAACTGCCCAAAGTCTACAGCTGCTTTGCCTCAGGGCATTTTACACTGTACCCCTCATCTGGAGCCCCTCCCTCCTTTCCACCCTTTATTTTTACTAGTCCTTTCCATCTTAGGGAGTATCTCACTACCTACTTTATATGACAGCTGCTCTTAGACTACACAGTTTTAGAGGCAAGGGTTGGGTCTATTTTTCTTATCCCTGGTACTAGCCAGGAGCCTTCCAAAGAGCAGGTGCTATTAATATTTGAGCACTTAAAGAGCAAGCGTGCACGTCAAACTTATTATGATTTAATTTCACTTTGACTAAGCTAAGCAAATCCAGGTATATATACTTCAATTTATAAAGAAAGACTGAAAGGAATAAAACCCAGAAATGACTACATTTCACTTTTTTTTTTTTTTTCTGTATCTCATGATCACATAGACTTTACTGTGGAATAGCTTTCTTTTTCACAAAAATCCCACATTCCAACGTCCTGTCACCTAGGTCTGCCTGACAAGACATGATTCAAGAGTTTCAATTTCTTTTACAAAATACCAAAATTCTTAATTTTTCAACCGGATAAACTCCAATAAATGTAAGATCCATGTCATTCATAAACTTTGATTCTGAAGCTAAATAAACCTTTAATCGAATGGAAAGACATTTAAAACTAGGAAGAAAAGATAAATCTCCAAATTAAACATATTGTACAGAAACACAAATGTATTACACTCTGTGTTCCCACGAGCCCACTTGGGCCGTCCACAGGTTACAAGATCAACTGCTTTTGTTAAGCACAAAGAATCGGCCTTAGCCCTCTCTAGGGAGGAGAGTAGCTGCTGGCCTCGGCCCAGGAACGTGCACTGGCCTTGGCAGTAGAGGCTGCCCTGGTCGTGGCTCAGGCTCGGGCTCTCTCTTCCTCATTTCTCAGCCTCCTCCTAATGCCATGGAAAGGCCACGATGTTGGCAAAATCCCCAGCACTTTTAAAAATTTTGTTTTTACTTTCTTTTTAATTTCTTTAACTTAAATCCAAGTTAGTTAACATATAGTGTAAAAATAATTTCAGAAATAGAATTTAATGATTCATCACTTACATATAACCCCCAGTGGTCATCCCACCGAGTGTCCTCCTTAATGCCCCTTGCTCATTTAGCCCATCCCCTCACTCAACATACCTCTGGCAACCTTGTTTGTTCTCTGTATTTAAGAGTCTCTTACGGTTTGTCTCCCTCTCTGTTTTTATATTATTTTTGCTTCCCTTCCTTATGTTTATCTGTTTTGTATATTAAATTCCACAGATAAGTGAAATCATGATATTTGTCTTTTCTGACTGACGTACTTTGCTTAGCATAATACTCTGTAGTTCCATCCACTTGTTGCAAATGGCAAGATTTTGATCACCGAGTAATATCCCATTGTGTATATGTACCACATCTTTTCTATCCATTCATCAGCTGATAGACGTTTGGGCTCTTTCCATACTTTGGCTATTGTTGATAGTGTTGCTACAAACACTGGGGTGCATGTGCCCCTTCGAATCAGCATTTTTGTATCCTTTGGATAAATACCTAGTGGCAAAACTGCTGGGTCATAGGGTAGTTTTATTTTTCAGTTTTTGAGAAACCTCCATACTGTTTTCCAGAGTGGCCGCACCAGTTTGCATTCCCACCAGCAGTGCAAACGGGTTTCTCTTTCTCTGTGTCCCCACCAACTGTTGTTTCATGAGCTGTTCATTTTAGCCATTCTGACTGGTGTGAGGTGGTATCTCAGTTCATTCTTCTGCATGTTGCTGTCCAGTTTTCCAGCAACATTTGCTGAAGAGACTTTTTTTTTCCATTAGATATTCTTCCCTGCTTTGTCATTTATTAGTTGGCTATACATTTATGGGTCCATTTCTGGGTTCTCTATTCTATTCCACTGATCTGAATGTCTGTTTTTGTGTCAGTACCATACTGTCTTGATGATGACAGCTTTGTAATACAGCTTGAAGTCTGGAATTGTGATGCCCCCAGCTTTAATTTTCTTTTTCGGGATTGCTATTTGGCTATATTCTTGTTCCATACAAATTTTAGGATTGTTTGGTCTAGCTCTGTGCAGAATGCTGGTGTTATTCTGAGAGGGACTGCACTGAATATGAAGATTGCTTAAAACTCCAGCACTTTTGTTTTGCTGGGCTCAGCGTGGGCACTTGGGCCCGACA